GTGGCCCTCTGTGGATCTCTTGGCTTTTAGACAATTCATAATTCATTACATTTCTTAAATGTATAACATTTTTCATCAAATATGAGAAGTCTTCAGCTATTATATCTTCAAATACTTTCTGCTTTTCCTCTCCTCCTTTATGATACTTTTATATATATATTGGTGCACTTAATGATGACAGTTCTGATGCTCTGTTCATTTTTCTTCATTCTTTTTTCTATTCTTCAGGTTGTATAATCACTACCAGTCTACTTTCAAGGTTTCTGATTCATTCTCAAGTCAGTTCAAGTTTACTTCTGAGCCCCTCTAGTGAAGTCTTCATTTTGGTTATTGTGCTTTTCAATTCCAGAACTTCCATTTGGATTTTTTTATAATTTCTATGCCTTTAATGATAGTATTTATGAAGAGACATCATCATCACAACTTCTTTACTTCATTAAAAATGGTTTCAATTGTTTGAATATAATTATAACGTCTTGGAAGCCTATGTTATATTTGAGATACGAGCCCTACCACTGGTAGCTTCTATTGCTTATTTTTCTCCTCCATGTATCAATGGCGCCTTCCTTTTCTTTGCATGTCACAATTTTTGGTTGAAAACAGTACATTTTCAGTAACTTGGGAGCAATAACTTTCAGGAACTTGGGACAATAACTCTCTTTCACTTTTCCAGGTCTAGTGTTTTTTTTTTTTTTTTTTTGGCTTGTTTTTTGTTGACTTGAAATTTTAGTGAAGTATGTTTCCTCTACAGTGTAAACCCCGAGTGTCACTTCTTGGAGGGCACAGATTTGGACATGAATACAGTCACCCTAGGATGATAATGGTTTTAGCAAGAATCTCTTTCTTTTTGTGTTAAGCTCTTTGACTCATTTACCATTACATACAGCTTGAGGATTACACTCATTACTGGCTGATTGCTCCAAGGTTTCAACGTGTCTTGGGGGCAGAGATTATTCCACAGTCTGACCCAATTAAATTCAGACAGGGGTCAATTTTGAGAAGTCTCTGAGGTTTGTTCTGACTGCAGGAGGGTTCTTAGTGTTTCTTTCCCTAGTTTTTTGGTGTACTAGCTGGCATACAGTTATATTCTTAGTCTTAGTTCCCAGATCAGGAATCAAACCCTTACCCCCTGCAGTGGAAGCCCAGAATCTTAAACAGTGGACTAGCTTCTTAGTCTGGATTAAGTGATGCCCCTTTTATTTGCTTACCACCAGAATCTCCTTGTTTTCAAGAATGTCCTTAAGCATGAATTTCCCCACAGTTTCAGAAAAGTCAAATTCCTCTTGGAGAGAGTTTCTGAGCTCTCTATTCTTATGGCAAAATTTCTGGTTTTCTTCTGCCAGCATAGAACATCTCTTCTAAAAGTGACCTGGATCAAGGATGCTCAGGGTCACAGCACTCTCTGTTTGTCATCCTTAAGAGTTGAGCAGTTATCCTGTTAGTAGGTGCTGAGCAAAGGAAAGGAACCCCCAACCTCTTGGTTACATTCACCATGAATTTAACCTCTTTAACTAAGAGCTGGAGAGGATGAGAAATGCTACATCTCTCTGTAAGATATTGTATCCCTTGATTAGGAGCCGAGGGGAGAGAAAGCTATCTTCTTGGCCACTCAGAGTTGGATTCCATCAAGTTAACTGAGGGAGGGAGTAAGGGATAGTATTTTTCACAGCCCAAGTGTCATAGACTCTTGCTCTTCTTACCAAGTTTTAGGATGTATTCTTGAATAAATGTTTCCTTATCTGCTGTATGCCCTTAGGACACTTCCCAGAGAATTTAAATGGTTGGTCTTTAAAAATAGTTTTTACCAGTTTTGTTTGTTTGCTTGGGAGTAGGTTCACAGAACTCCTCATGCTGCCATTTCAGAAATGAAACTCCCTCTCTCTCACACTTGTAATCATACTATTGCTATTAATATCCTCAATCTTTGCTTTGGATATAGTTAGCTACTTGAAAACAGTAACTTTGATCATTTCAAGTCTTGATTTTAAGAATTTTTAGATAAACCATAGCAACATTTAGTCTAGATCTAGCTAAAACAAGACTCTCCAAGTAGTCAGTATCCCATCAATGTTTTCTAATCTGTTTGGTGAGAAAAAGAAATATTCCCAGCCTGGTGTGAGTGCTGGGCACTGCTGTCTCTGATTTGTTGGACAGTTTTTTCACCAGTCTTAGGTAATATTCCTCCTAAGCATCAGCTGATCAGCATTCAGCTGAATACTCAAAAAGGAACCTATGCAGAGATCCAGAATTCTTGCACTGTGTAACCTTCTTCTCTTGAATACTCTATCCCAAGAACTCTAGCTGACTTGGTTTCACTGGACTCTCAGTTCTATCTCCTCAACTCAGCAAGTCTACAAGGATCTCCTTGTGTTTCTCCTTCCTGTTTCCATGGTTTCCATATGTTGCTCCTTCCTGTTTCCATGTCTCCTTCCATGGTTTCCAGACCAGTAAGCAGGGAAGATTTCAAGGCTTACCTCATTTATTTTCTCTCTCTCAGAGATCTTCATATTCATTGTTGATAAACAGTGTCTTGAAAACCATATATTTTGCCTTTTTTTTAAAAATAATTTCAGATGAGGGTAGATTCAGCCCTAATCTTGGCTGGTACAGAAGTCCTCTTTAATTATTTGAAATATGGTTTTTAGTTTCTTCCTGATATTCAGTTCTGAAATCTGAAATCAGTTCTGAAATTCAGAAAGAGATGGAAATACCAGATCACCTGACCTGCCTCTTGAGAAACCTGTATGCAGGTCAGGAAGCAACAGTTAGAACTGGACATGGAACAACAGAGTGGTTCCAAAGAGGAAAAGGAGTATGTCAAGGCTGTATATTGTCACCCTGCTTATTTAACTTATACGCAGTGTACATCATGAGAATCGCTAGGCTGGAGGAAGCACAAGCTGGAATCAAGATTGCGGAGAGAAATATCAATAATGTTAGATATGCAGATGACACCACCCTTATGGCAGAAAGTGAAGAAGAACTAAAGAGCCTCTTGATGAAAGTGAAAGAGGAGAGTGAAAAAGTTGGCTTAAAGTTCAACATTCAGAAAACTAAGATCATGGCATCTGGTCCCATCACTTCATGGCAAATAGATGGGGAAAAGGTGGCTGACTTTATTTTTCTGGGCTCCACAATCACTGCAGATGGTGATTGCAGTCATGAAATTAAAAGATGCTTACTCCTTGGAAGGAAAGTTATGACCAACCTAGATAGCATATTCAAAAGTAGAAACATTACTTTGCCAAAAGGTCCATCTAGTCAAGGCTATGGTTTTTCCAGTGGTCATGTATGGATGTGAGAGTTGGAATATAAAGAAAGCTGAGCACCGAAGAATTGATGCTTTTGAACTGTGGTGTTGGAGAAGATTAGTGAGAGTCCCTTGGACTGCAAGGAGATCCAACCAGTCCATCCTAAAGGAGATCAATCCTGGGTGTTTATTGGAAGGACAATGTTGAAGCTGAAACTCCAATACTTTGGCCACCTCATGCGAAGAGCTGACTCATTTGAAAAGACCCTGATGCTGGGAAAGACTGAGGGCAGGGGGAGAAGGGGACGACAGAGGATAAGATGGCTGGATGGCACCACTGCCTCAATGGACATGGGTGAGTGGACTCCAGGCGTTGGTGATGGACAGAGAGGCCTGGTGTGCTGTGGTTCATGGCATCGCAAAGAGTCAGACGCGACTGAGCGACTGAACTGAACTGAACTGATATTCAGTTATTTCAGATTCTTGGGTATTAATCTTACTATTTGTAGCATGTACTGACTCTTGCTCTTAATGAATCCTTTCCTTGTGTTCTATATGCTGAAGCTCACCTTTAATAATTATTCTCTCCCTTTGGACATTCCTAAGTGGCTTGAATGATTGAAGTATCTCCTTTAGAATAGCTGTCCCAGGTAAGTCATCCCAGAACTAATTTGTGTGTTAGTTTATCAAGTGGATAGGGTGATTTTAGATTCTCAATCAGTGTGCAGTATAATCTGGAATTTTTATTTCTAACAGAAGACTTTTTCCATATATAGCCCTGGATAAAAACAAGTTTCCTTTGTGCTTTGTCTGGATCAGTGATAAAAAAATCTTCTATTTCTTTATCAAGGTTGAGAGGCCTTTCTAAGGTCTTAGCTTTATGAAGGGGCATCCCTGGTGGCTCAGATGGTAAAGAATCCACCTGCAATGCGGGACACCTGGGTTCTATCCCTGGTTTGGGAAGACCCCCTGGAGGAGGGCATAACAACCCACTCCAGTATTCTTGCCTGGAGAATCCCCATGGACAGAGGAGTCTGGCAGGCTACAGTCCATAGGCTCACACAGAGTCAGACATGAATGAAGTGACAAAGCAGCAGCAACAGCAGCTTTATGAAGAGGTTTTAGTTTCACCTCCTCACCTTGAGCAGAGTCAAGACCTCATTTCCTTTCCTTACGTAGGCATTAAAACCCAAGTTTATAAATGCTGAGACTATTTCTGAATCTGCAAACTATCACCGGGACCACTGTACAGGTTTTCATCTTATTGGTCATTTTGACAAAGGAGGATTTATTTTCCTTTCTTGTGATTTCAGCTAGGTATTAAATTGTTCATATTTAGATTCAACATTTATAATAGTTATAGCAGAAGGTATTCCATATTAGCTGAATCTATCTTGTTTTGGAACTATAAATTCTAGCCTCCATAAGGATTAGGCAAAATATTGTATATGTATGTAGATGTACATTATAATAGGAAATAGGTCCAAACCTCAATCAAATTCTTTAACAGGTCTATAAGCCAAACAAGGATTAAGGATAATTGCTTTGTAACTTTTGATCTGTCTATATTTGATCAGTATTTCTAAGTGCCTCTCTGTTTCATAAAATGATTCCTTGATTAAACTGCCTAAGCTCCTTGGTTTTTACTCTAGATACACAGGGAAAAATATAAAATATGTATATTTGATATATATTTACCAAATATATATATATCAAATGTCATTATAATTATGGTATTGGATTGGCTGAATAATTCCATACGTAATTTGATTAGATTAGGGAAGAAATATCTTTTTTTTTTAAGAAATATCTTTATAAAAGATTCTGTTATTAGTTGGGAGAAGAGCCAATAGAAAAATTGAGAAAGAATCAATTAATTCTGTTATTTAGCCAGACTGGATTTTACTGAAGTATATTATCTAAACAAACATAAATAAGATTACCCATATCCTTGAGGAAATTACCATCACACACATTACAGGTAGAAGTTACAAAGGAAATTAGGCAATACTATAAGGCTGGTCTTGTTTTGGAAAATTATATTCAGCTTAATGTTTATAGCTGACATACTTCTTCGACATTCTTACATGAAATAAAATTCAGTATAATACCACTGACTCACTTCATTTGGTTCATCTAATAGCATTATTATTAATTAGCAATAATACCATTCAAGATGTGGATATACTTTTCCAGAGTTTCTTTTCAAAATGTTCTTTAAGTTATCAATGGTTTGTAAATTAACAGCCAAATCCTGTAAGTCTTGTCATGAGTCAGGAAGATAAATTTCCTATGATTTTATTTATTGTATAAAAAAAAATTTCCTGCCCAAAAGTCTACTTGACTACACTACTTTTCCATTCAAAAATACAGGATGCATTTTCCATGTGCATTCTCTTCTAGCAACTAATAGCTACCAAGCAAGAAAAGCCATCATATTGAGAAGCCTTAGTGATACAGTGAAAAAAAAAAAACGGAATTAAAAATCAGACAGCAAATCTAAGTTTGACTACTGGCTCTGCCGTTTACCAGTTGTGTGACTTTAACAAAGCTATTTATCTAACAGCTGATCGGTTTCTTTATCTGAAAAAGTAAAGGGATAATTATGCCAAAAACAAAGGATTGCTGTGAGAATTATAGATAAAAATACCAAGTTCTCAAAATGCTAAAAAGAAAAAACAATAACAACTAGAGTAAGACAGTGCTATACAACCTATTCTAAATGCCTCTTCTTTTCCTTCAATGTAAGTACTGTTCAAGTCTTTCTTGTACTACAAAATGAATTATGTAACAAAGATAAAATTTCACCAATTTTAGTTTGTGAACCTCAAGGTTCTAACTAAGGCTGATCTTTTCAAACCTACTCATTTATTAAATTCTAGCTATGTCCTTAGCACTATTCTCATACATTTAAAAAAAAAAAAAACCCACTGTAAAATTCTCTAAAATTCCTATAAAATCTCAGGCCCTAACAGATAGCAATGAGAAGAGATTATCAACCCCTAGCCTTAGGAGTCTCTTAAAGTTTGATTTCTTGAACTAAAAGACTTCTGAAAGCTGTTAAAGAAGAGCCCACTGGAAAACAAAACAAACCACAAACAGCAGTATCTCCCTTTCTCCTAATCTGATCCCCTATTTTCACTTTTAGTTCTGTATCTAAAGACTGGAAAGCAAGCAATTCCACTATAAATTGAAGCAACATAACATATTCTGCAAAACTTCTTTGAGGCTTTGGTACACCCAAGTAGGGAGTAGTTTTACTTTCTAAACAAGTAACAAAAAATGGTTATTAAACATTCTCAACAGAAACCATCTCTGTTTATACATTTAAGAGCAACTGAAAAGTAGAGGTTAGTGCCACTCTATCAAAATGCTTTCAAAGTTAAATTCTATCACTCCAAAATGAAAAGTTACAAATTTGTTTTCCTTAGATACATCCCTGTGAAAATAATTTCTTTTACTGGTAATTTACCTAAGAAACTTTTTGGTTTATTAACAAGGGTCCTGAGAGGGTAAAATAACTTTGGACAAGTCATTTAACCTCTTAGGCCAGTGCTCTCTATATTCTTGCTATTCAAAGTATTCCACAAACCACAGAATTGACATCACTTGGGAGCTTGTTAGAAATGCAGAATATCCGGCTTACTGTAACCCTGCATAGGAACCTACTGTAACCCAGACCTACTGACTCAGAATCTGTATTTTATTAGGATCACATGTGATTTATATACATATAAAAGTTTCAGAACCACACTTACTATTCAGTAAGGGGGTTGGACTAAATGATCTTAAGGTCACTTATAACTGATGATTTTTTTCAAGAGAAAAATCAGATCTGACAACACTGGAGCCTGTATTCTCATGTGGCAACAGTAGGCGGGAACTCGGTAGCAACCGCCCCATAAGATGGGGCATGCACTCTCCTTGGCTCCCCAAATCCTTATCCAGCCCCTCCATGTACTCAAGTCAACTGGTTGGCCCCTATCTAGCCACTGAACTAACTTAGATACCAAACAGGATTGAGGAAGTTCCTTTTTCAGTAAATAAGAGAGGCTTTCAGGGGTAAAAATTCATTAACTATGAATGAATAGTTTTAGGTGAAAGGGGAAAGGAAATAAACTGTTCCTTTACCTTGATGGGAAGTAGTGAGGTCCAGGTAGGAAGTAAGGGTGATGAAAAGAGAATCGCGGTGGTGTCCCAAACAATGCAGCTGGATGGCCAAGGGGTGGGGGCTGGTAGACGTGTGAGTGTGGGATAGGAGGAGCCTGGGAAATGGGAGTACTTCTGGGACAAGTGGAAACGCTGGGATACTCCTTGGGAGGTTGGATGGTTGAGGTTGCAAATCTGGAATGGGCAGGACTTGCACTAGTTGGAATCCTGTTGGTGCTCTCCAGAGAAACAGGAGTGGGTCTCTTCACAGAGCGACTGACTCCAGAATGCAGCCGATGAGTGTCCGTTTGGGAGGGCCCAGCAAAGCGCTGGGGTGGGAGTGCTGGGTGGAGGGGCAGACTTGGAGCCTGGACAGCCACCTGGGCAGAACTGGAGACGCTGGGCTGGAAAAGCGTGATGGGGCTTGGACGCTGGACTGCAGGTGTGGGCAGCTGGATGGTTGGTGGAGAGTCACCTTCAGAAATAAAAACAGTATAGGTCAGGCATGTATTGAGTCACTTTTTATTTTTCCTTTTTTCAGCAGAACTTAATGAACTGTATAACCAGAAGCTTCCACTAATCATCTTACCTAAGAACATCACCACTCTATTTATTTCATAACATCCTGAACAAACTGAAGCCATCTTGTTCATTTATTTTACATTCTTGTCTCTCTTTCCCACCTAGATTCTAAATGCCCTTTTCTGTTCTGCTCATTACTATATCCCCAGGGCTCAAAATTCTGCCTGACACAGAATAGGTCCTTAAAAAAATATTTTTTGGATGAATAAATCAATGAATAAAATGTCAGTGAAAGACAAATACAAATGCTGGTATATATATATATATAAATATTTCTAAAAGAAATAATATGAAACTATTGATAGTGGTTCCTTTTAAAAAGATGGTCATCTGGAAAAGGAGACAGGGCCATGGGAAGCCAGACTTTCATTTTATACCTATTGGGACTATTTGAATTTTCTGTTCTCTAAATATATCAATTTTATGTATTAATAGATGTTTAATCATAACAGTATGGGTCATTTTTTAAATTTCTATACTCTATGATAAACTAAATTATGAATGACATTTTTAATTGAAAAAAACTAAAGAAACCATCAGTAAAATTATTTTGCTTTATTGCATCCAATGTGAATACATAAGGAAATTCCCCAAAGAGACTATGACTTGCCATAGGTCAGCAATTTGTGACAAATAGGAAAGAATATTATTGCAGCATGGCAAGATAGAGATAGTAGAATTTTTAGAGGCAATTAAAATAATCATGTATTTTATCTTTTTGATCCTGAAGAAGAAGGACTGCTGACTGAGTTACTAAGTTACTCAAAAGACACATTTAGCCTAAATTTAACTAAACTTCTCCAAAGAAATACAGAGAGAAGCCAAAGTAATAGATTCATGATCGAGTTTATTTCAGTGCAGTTACGTCTCTTAATATAGAAGATGCAGTCCAAGAATAGACTCTATGGTTAGAAATGTTTCTGTCAGAGGCCAAAAGGATTGTCAATCTTCTCTCAGTCTTGGCCAGGTAACACGTTCCTCTCCTTCCTTCTCTCCAGGTAAGTCAAATAACAATCACCCTTAAACCTGGAGGTAGGGAATGAAGAGCTATATCCATCTGCTTCAAGATGGCCTCTGACCCAGTGAAATAGAGGCAACACAGTGTACAGATAAAGCTGTCATGATTCTCAGTTAATGGGGTTAAATGGACTAGCCTCCCATATGTGAGGCACAGGCTTTAGGCCTTTCTGATTAATCAAGCATAAAGTAATCTCCTTCTTCATGTTCCCTCAGAAACTATAAATCTATCACATATTATAAAAATAGTGTAAATCTGCAGGTCTGCCACCCTTACCGCAATCACAAAACTGGGAACTCAAGAGCAGGAACAGTTTAATTCATAGTAGTAGCCCCATTATCTGGCACAGAACCTGGTTAATAACAGTTAAGAAAGGTATGTATAACTAGATGAAAGAAAAAACAAACAAGCTTACAGCTGACAGAACCTCTATCTCTGATCTTGTACAAAAGAATCTCCTCCTCTAAATACATATTACACCAGGCTGACTTGTAAAATCTCTCAAAGTTTTATTTACTGAATTATCACTGCACTCAAGACATCTGCTCCTAAAATCTACCTCTGATGCAGATTTCTTTTCCTATGCAGTATGAAGTTAAGTAAGAAGTGTTGTCTACCACGTCTGAGACTGGCCCATAAAAAAAACTCTCATGCACAATCTTCCTGGCTCTTAGTCCTCAAAAAAGAAATATGCTCTTTTTAGGCAAAGGAAACAAAAAATTATAGGAGCTGTAGTTACTTCAGTTACTGAAGAAGAAAGGGACTCAATCTTTTAGCTGATATCAAATGTCCTTTCCTACCAAAGATATTTTTTATAAAATAAAGGGAACCAATGAAGCATGAGGTCATAAAATCATGCACTCATTTACTTAAACATTTACCAAGCAACTAACATTTTTGACCTGAGGTAAAAAATCAGATACATAGAAAGTTATATGGAAGTATAATAAAGATGTCCTAAATGTCAAAATTCAGGTTGCTATACCGAGAGGTTAATGCCTACAACACCTAATCATCACTGATAAACTCAGTGAATAGGGAAGACTTGTGGAAAGGGCAGAGATCTAATACATCACACTGTAGATAAGGTATGGAAAAGACTATCCAGTCACTTGGTTTCTCTCCTACTAGCACACAGCTAGGTTACATTTTCCATCCTGCCTTGAAGTTAGGAGCGGTCATGTGGTTCAAGCTAACCGATGAAGTAAGTGTTGTATACCACTTCTGAGACTGGACCATAAAAAACTCTCATGTACAATCCTCCATGCTCTTTTCCCTCTGCAAATTCATGCACACTTGGATTCTACATATCAAAGACGGAAGAGCCATAGGGTAGAAGAAACCTGTGTCTATGAATCCCTTGGAAGAAAGTCAGAGATATTTGTTTTGGACTTTACATGCATAAAAATGTAAACCTTGATTCTGTTTAAACCATTATGTTTAGGAGACTGTTGAAGCAGCTAGCATTATCTAATTGTAACATGAGGTAAAGAGCAGAATTTTAGATCTATAGTACACTATGATAAGAACAAAAGAAAAAAATTAGTTATTAATAGCTGTCCATAGTTTCGCAAATCCCTCTCACCCATTCCTAAAGAAGACTCCACTACCTGTGCTGAATGGATGAAGGATGTAACCAGGCTTTTGTTGTGTGACTGGGATGAACAGAAAGGAGTAGGGAATGGCAGAAACTGAGGACAGATCAAATTTCTCTACAAGAAAAAGGATAGGAAGCCCAGCATATGACTAAGAAGAGAGAAACAGAAAAAGGAGGAGAGAGAGAAATAGGGTAAGAGTCGGAGACATAGAGACAGAGATGGAAAACGGAGACTTGGGAATAACAGTTAAATAACTGCTAAGGACGGTGGGGCTTTGGGGAGAGAAATGGTAAAGAGGAGCCCTAAGAAGACTTAGTATAGTTTGAGCCATATGATTCCTCCTCCTTTGCTCCACAAGAAAACCTACAATAATGAGCTACATCACTTTTCAAGGAATCTGCAAGCCCTATCTTTGTTTCTTCTGAACATAAAACTTTGCAAGAATTGATCTTAAGACAAGGACAAGATAAGATTGTTTTTGGATTACAAAAATATTAGAATGTTGGAGGTTCTTTGTTTCATTTCTGTTAAAAAAGAAGAGATGGGTAAACCAAAATGATATTATATGTCTATGACCAAAAAATTAAAATAGTAGTAAACATTTTTAATGTCAAAATTTAGAGAAAATGTATGAATTCAGAAGAGTAAAAGATATCAACTGAGTTTAGATGTAATAAGGAAAATTCATTTCAGGTTGCAGTAATAAAATGTAAAGAATGAAATAATCTCACCAGAAAATTCATAAATATATAAAACTAACATCTGAAAGCCAGCCTAAAATAAATATAGCTTCTACCAGATTTCTAGAAGCCTTTAAAAAATTAAACGTGATCAATTTAATAGAAGAATTATACAAGAAAGATCTTAATGACCCAGATAACCACGATGGTGTGATCACTCACCTAAACCAGACATCCTGGAATGCAAAGTCAAGTGGGCCTCAGGAAGCATCACTACAAAGCTAGTGGAGGTGACGGAATTCCAGTTGAGATATTTCAAATCCTAAAAGATGATGCTGTGAAAGTGCTGCACTCAATATGCCAGCAAATCTGGAAAACTCAGCAGTGGCCACAGGACTGGAAAAGGTCAGTTTTCAGTCCAATCCCAAAGAATGTTCAAACTGCCGCACAAATTCACTCATATCACATGCTAGTGAAGTAATGCTCAAAATTCTCCAAGCCAGGCTTCAACAGTACACGAGCCAAGAACTTCAAGATGTTCAAGCTGGATTTAGAAAAGGCAAAGGAACCAGAGATCAAATTGCCAACATCTGTTGGATTATACAAAAAGCAAGAGTTCCAGAAAAACATCTACTTCTGCTTTAATGACTATGCCAAAGCCTTCGACTGTGGATCACAACAAACTGTAGAAAATTCTTAAAGTGAAAGGAATGTCAGACCACCTTACCTGCCCCCTGCAAAACCTGTATGCAGGTCAAGAAAAAGTCAGAACCAGACTTGTAATGGACTGGTTCCAAATTGGGAAAGAAATATGTAAAGGCTGTATACTGTCATCTTGATTATTTAACCTATATGCAGAGAACATCATGCAAAATGCCAGGCTGGATGAAGCACAAGCTGGACTCAAGATTGCTGGGAGAAATATCAATAACCTCAGATATGCAGAAGACACCACACTTATGGCAGAAAGTGAAGAGGAACTAAAAAGAGTCTCTTGATGAAAGTGAAAGAGGAGTGAAAAAGTTGGCTTAAAACTCAACATTCAAAAAATTAAGATCAAGGCATCTGATTCCATCACTTCATGGCAAACAGATGGGGAAACTCTAAAAACAGTGAGAGACTTTTATTTTCTTGGGCTCCAAAATCACTGCAGATGGTGAGTGCAGCCATGAAATTAAAAGACTCTTGCTCCTTGGAGGAAAAGCGATGACCAATCTAGACAGCATATTAAAAAGCAGAGACATTGCTTTGCCAACAGAGGTCCATCTTGTCAAAGGTATGGTTTTTCCAGTAGTCATGTTATGGATATGCAAGTTGGACCATAAAGAAAGCTGAGCACCGAAGAATAGATGCTTTTGAACGTGGTGTTGGAGAAGATTCTTGAGAGTCCCTTGGACTGCTAAGAGATCAAACTAGTCAATCTGAAAGGAAATCAGTACTGAATATTCACTGGAAGGACTGATGCTGAAGCTCCAATACTTTGGCCACCTGATGCAAAGAGCTGATTCATTTGAAAAGACACTGATGCTGGGAAAGATTGAGGGTGGTAGGAGAAGGGGACGACAGAGGACGAGATGCTTGGATGGCATTACCGACTCGATGGACATGAGTTTGAGCAAGCTCCGGGAGTTGGTGATGGGCAGGGAAGCCTGGCATGCTTCAGTCCATGGAATGGCATGCAAAGAGTTGGACATGACTGAGCAACTGAACCAAACTGAATTTAATATAAAATTAAAATGCTGGCATAACTGGCATCAAAGACATTTGATAAAAGGAAGTATCTAAAAAGTATTCTGGACTATTAAGCTGTAAGTACTTTCAGAAACTGGAAACAGGAGATAAGCTCAATATGTGGGATTAAACATGAGAGACAAAATTAGATTTTTGGAACTACAAATACTGGCTAGGAAAATAAGACTGATAGGGATAACTAAAATAAAAAGTTTATAGAATGAAGGTTATTTTATATGTTAATGTTAAAAACCCAGAAGGAAAAAAATGTGCCTTAAAAATCAAAAAGTTGTTACGGCTAACTGACCAAATCAAAGTGAAAGTGAAGTCGTCCAGCTGTGTCTGACTCTTTGTGGCCCCATGGGTGGTAGCCTGCCAGGCTCCTTGTCCATGGGATTTTCCAGGCAAGAATACTGGAGTGGTTTGCCATTCCCTTCTCCAGGGGATCCTCCTGAGCCAGGGTTTGAAGCCAGGTCTCCCACATTGCAGGCAGACTCTTTACTGTCTGAGCCACCAGGGAGGCTTGACCAACTTAGAGAGTGCCCACAAATGAAGAGCTCGTCCAAATCTGTGAAAAAGAAGCCGAAGTGTCTAAGTGAGATGCAAGTACAAATTAGACAGTTTAAAAGAAAAGTGAAGAAATTACATCTGTGGGACCTTAAAATCAATAGTAAGTGACTTTTTAAATACTTTTACAGAAAGAAGAGACTCAATGGAATCAGTGGGAGAGTCATTATGGTGTAAAAGTCAACTGAAAGAACAGAGAGACTCAAAACCCACTTCCTACTAAAGAAGACCTTAAGAAGATATCTGAACCTAATTCATTTTCGCAGCAGATAGTTTAAAAATATTACATCAAATGCAGTATAATGGCAAGTTCACATAATGTTCTAATCCAAATTGATAAAATGAATATATGAGATCTTAGGTGGCATTAACCTAAGAGCTTTAAAGAAACTCAAAAGTTAGAACTGAGAAAATATTGGATGAAGTAGATACAAATGGTTTGCCAAAAATGTTAATCCAAAGCATTTTTGGAAAGTCAACATAATACCAGGTTATCAGAAGTAGTGAACTTGTCTTTGCAAGTAGTAAAGCAGAGACATTACTTTGCCAACAAAGGCTATGGTTTTTCTGGTGGTCATGTATGGATGTGAGAGTTGGACTGTGAAGAAAGCTGAGCGCTGAAGAATTGATGCTTTTGAACTGTGGTGTTGGAGAAGACTCTTGAGAGTCCCTTGGGCTGCAAGGAGATCCAATCAGTCCATCCTAACGGAGATCAATCCTGGGTGTTCACTGGAAGGACTGATGCTCCAGTACTTTGGTCACCTCATGCAAAGAGTTGATTCACTGGAAAAGACCCTGATGCTGGGAGGGATTGGGGGCAGGAGGAGAAGGGGACGACAAAGGATGAGATGGCTGGATGGCATCACTGACTCGATGGACANCTCATGCAAAGAGTTGATTCACTGGAAAAGACCCTGATGCTGGGAGGGATTGGGGGCAGGAGGAGAAGGGGACGACAAAGGATGAGATGGCTGGATGGCATCACTGACTCGATGGGCTTGAGTATGAGTAAACTCATGAGTTGGTGATGGACAGGGAGGCCTGGCGTGCTGCAATTCATGGAGTCACAGAGTCGGACACGATGAGTGACTGAACTGAACTGATTATCATATAACTGTATATATACCTGGGGAAAGAATTCCAAAATTTTATAGGTAAAAGATAATGATCTTTTTATAATTTGAGGTCCAAGAAACAAATCTTCACTGATACTACCTAAGAAGAAATAAGAGAAATTTAAAAAGAAAAAAGCCAACAAAAAAATACCTAGATTTGATTACTTTGTATGTGGTTTCCTATTTTGCTTTTCATACTTACATAAAACATCATGAATGTAAGAGCTCTACCAATGTTTTGCCAAACCTTTGCTCAGAATTGCATAAAGTTAATATATTGTATTAAAATGTGAGCTGCCTCAAGTTAAGAACATTGATAAATGTGTTTCTGAGAAGAGAAAACATACAGCATTTATTTAACTGTGGATAGAATGACATGGAAGAAAAGCCTTAAAAAAAGGTGTAAAGAGAAGAAACATAGATGATAAAAGCGTAAATCATAAATAACATAACATTACCCAAGGTAAGTTTTTTTGTTTTGTTTTAAAAAGCATAATTAAACCCAGTTTGAATATAGAATTAAAAGAGATACTACAAAATAGCAAAGGTACTGGGAGAGGAACAGGGTGATAGGATCAGCTTTCTTTGCCTGGAGTCTGGATACTCTTGATGTGGCCTTGTTGGTATTTATGACTATGATACACAGGGGAAAAAAAAAACTGAAAATGCCTAAGTTCCTAATAAGTCAATTTTAAAACTGGAAAGAACAGCAGTTTTAGGACAAGTGATAGTAAGCAGGGAATGTACAAAGTTCTGCCTAAGAGATGACTAAAATAGGCTCTGGAAGAACAAACTAATGATGGATAGCCCTATAAAAGTTCTTAAGATATTAAATTCTCAATTTGGGGTTCTTAAAAGCAAAAGACAGGAATGTTGTAAAGAACTGATAATAGAGGAGAAATTTTAGGGAAAAACAATATAATGAACCAAATATCTGGTAGAAGATAGATTACTTACATTGATTTTCTAGAGCAGCAAAAAAAAAAAAAGGTCTTAACAGGTCAGGCACCATGATTAAATTCCAGGACAGGATGCCTCATACCTCATCGGCAAGACATTCTTTTATGCTAAAACTAAAAACACATTCCTATTTCCCACTGAATTACTTCAGTCATTTCCTGCATTATCTGCATAATCTATGGACTTATCCTGATTTGCTTAAAAGGTCTGACATGGAATATTTACTAGTCTGGCAAACCAAGGACTTTGATGTCTACTGAAATTTTTCCTTCTCTGATTTAATGTTTTCAGTTTCTCACTTTTTGATTTTTTTTCTTAATATTGTTGTTTAAACTCAAGCTATAAGAAGCAAAATTTCAAGTTAAAATTATCACATAAGCCATTACAAAAATTATAATCTACAACAAAACCAACTCACCAACTGTATGAGTGATGGTGTTCTGTAGGCTGGGAATTACCACAGAGTAGGTAGGTGAGCGATAAGGATAAATTGTTGTTGGATTTGTAGAGATGATATTCTGTGTGGTACCAGAAAATACATTGGAAACGCTTAGAGGGAAGCGTTTTCGCTTCCCTGGACGAGGTTGATAAACCCAACCTGGAGAAGAAGATTAACCATTTTTAATTTGAACCTACAAATCCTATTTAGCCTTTAAATAGTTCTTTTCACATTAAAAGTCCAAAACACTTCTAAGTCTTAGTTGTCTAAAGTATCTTTTCCACTTCTATGATACTATTTCTGTGCATTTCAGCATATCTACCCACATGGCTCCTAGCTAGTGGCCAATGTTGTTAACTAATAATTCAAAGGAAGACCAAGAGCAAATGTCTTTTCTCCAAAGACACATAATGACTTTACAGTAAAATCAACATTAAAGGCACCGAGTCTAATTCCAAAGTTTTTCTTCTACCTATTAAAAAAAATGCCCCAGTAAGACGCTATTTGTCTCCTCTCATTTTTTCACTTTCTGTAAGATACAATTATCTACGTCTTACAATGAAGCAGCTACTAATGACCAGTCACTATTTTTATGCCTTCTTTAGGAAAAGTCCCTCTCTTAGACTTGGCAGTCTCCAAATCCACAAACCACCCAATTCCTTCTAAACTCAGAAAAATGGAATTACGGCAGTTGTTGCCACTGTACAACCAAGAGAATCACTGGTCCCCTGTGACCACTACTCTAACCATTCCCAGCCTGAACCTCTCTGCTATTACTTTAGGAAAAAAATTCTCTTCCCTCTAAGCACAGTGTGTTGGTCATACCAACACATATTTAAGTTTTTACCAAGCTTAATAACAATGTCCTCACTGCTGGGGAAAAAGTCAGAATTTATTTCAAAATATATCATGATGAGGATAAATTTATCAGGCAGGAGGCAGGACTAGATTCTTATAACCATATAATATTAAAATGGAGCTTGGTGCTAATGCCTGCAGTGTGCCCTGCGTATTTTTTCTGTTGCTACGATCTGAACACTTCATTTTCTAATACATTTGAAATATCATAGCACAGAACTCTGAATCTTCACCTTCATTAAATTTATATTTTTAAATTAAATCAAAACCACTGTAAAACTGTATATCCCCAGGTTTGCATCAGTAGGCAAATGTAAGACCAGATCAGGTTTGCATTAGTTGGCAAATATGAGACCAGATATTGTTCTACTTTGTTCTGTTTAAGAAAACTTATGTCCAGTATCAATTCAATCATTACTAAAATATTAGCCATAATTTTCTCTATTGTACATATCAGACCATAAGAAAATTACATTTTGTCTTTCAATCTCATCCTAACCTATTCTTTACCTAAATAAATAAATTTAAAAGAAATCAGAAAGAGGCTTCATTCATTTCATTTGATTACCAGGAAATTCCTCTCTGTGCTTTTCTTTAATCTTTTGCGCTTCATCATAATAGGGTTTCTTTTGTTCTTCACTAAGTTTGTTCCATTCTAACCCAAGCTGGACACTGATTTCTGCATTGTTGGCTGCTGGGTTAGCTTTGGCTAGTGCTGGCCGGTGGATCCTTGCCCAAACCATAAATGCATTCATGGGTCGCTTCACATGACCATTTCTGTCCTTACTGAAGGGAGTATCTGGTATTCCTACATGACAAAAATTAAAAGACTAAATTAATGTGACACACACACACAATTTTAAAGTGAAGTGCACCTCCAACTATATTTACTTTTTAAATATACGGAGAAAATATTCACTTCAATATAGCCAAAGAACTGCCAGTATTCCAGAATTCCTCATGACCCTTGAACTCAGCATTCTAAACTGTGGTTTAGAATGATTGTTCTTTTCATCAGAAAGAATATTATTATTGAAGACACTGTAAAATGCTGGCTTATTACTTCCTTGAGTTATAGTAATGCCTCTAACAACAATTAACATTTGGCTTATTTCCCATTAAAAATATTCTATTAATGGGGAACAGGAACTATAACTTATTCATGTCTATAATTCTAGCACTAGGTGGGTGTACCCTAAAAGTTTAAAGGAATTCACTTACATGCCGCTGGAGTGCTCATTCAAGCAAAAATACTTATAATACTATAATGTTAGTTATATTTCATTATTAAAGTGAAGCACCTGCCAAAGTGGGTCATTAACACTAGTCCCATGTCCTGGGAAAAAAGAGGAAAATAATAAAGGTGACTTTTTGAAAGTCACAGGGGCAACTGAAATTACAATAAAGGAAGCTGTTTAAAGTCACATTTCTTATATAATTCATCAAAAGCCACTGTATATAAATTTCATATATTGTTACTCTTTATCTTAAGGTCACTTGACATATAAAATTCTAAAATGCACAAAGGATGAAACAAGTTATTATAAAGAAAGGTTTCCCTTTCTCTCCTTTAGAAAATGAAAACAAAGTTTAAAAACTACTAAAGGTGAAAAAGCAAGAGGGTGGGGAGGGAAGGAAGAATCAATAAAGAAAATAAGAACAAATACAGTAAATATAAAATTAGTGAAATATAAAGTGAAGATTAATATGAATTTCCACATTTACTGGCATAATATTCTGTCTGAACTAAATCTTAAAGAATTTTCTAGCTATGTATTTGGAAATAATGGATAAAAATAAGATATCTACTTGTAATTGTTACTACTGTATTATGGTCCTTTATTTGAAAACTTTTACTTTCATTTTCCGAATTTCTCTAAGTCCTTAGCTTTTAGAATACTGTTACAATTAATTATGTAGTCTTATCTCCTAGAAAATGCTTACTCTTCATTTTTAAAAAAGATAAATAATTTCTAAATCTTTTATAAACTTCCCTATTTTTTCTTAAACATTTTTATTAATACACGTAAAAATACTGAGCTACTATAATACAACATTTTAAAATGTTGATTATCTGCAGCAATATAAACTGAGAATGTTGTATTTACCTACAAAGACTATTTCTGTGTATAAGCATTAGCCACACCTAAATCTTATTTAACGGGCCTTTAAAAAAATAGGTTATTTTTAATGTTTGGGAATCTTGAACGTGTTAGTGTATTTTACTAGTATACGTACAAGTCAGAAGTGATACCTGTGCAGACTTTGCCCTGAGTCCATGATTTTATTTTTCTAGCTTAGGCTTCTCAACAGCTGATATGTCAGCTATGGGGCAACAGACGAAGCCTGAAAACCAGATTGATTCCCCTGCCGTCTAATACCTGCATCTGAGGGAAGCACCGTAAGCGGGACATCTTTGGTTTCAATTTTTACAGAAGGCTCCAATAAGGACTGCATTTTAATAGGCACTGGTGTCAACGGGACCTTGGTCAATCGTATCAGCTCTGAAGGTGGAGGTCCCTGAAACTGGATCTGGGCCCCGGGGGGCACGGTGTGAAGAGTCAAAGGGACCCTGAGGTCTTGCTGATGTGGCCCAAAGGCACTGGACGGCTGGGTCAGGATGACATCCTTGCTGCCATGAGCCAGGCCATTGGACGCGGGCTCTGTACTGAGCCTGCAGTCCTCTCGAAGTCTCTCAGGCGCCTCCGTTTTGATGACTCCTTCTCTGAGGACTGCCAGGCTTGTGCCTTCTCCGCCTTTTGCTGCGTAGCTCATGATCTCCTCCGCCTCCAACTTGCCCTTCTTCTCGTCCCCTCGGCGGCTGTTGAGGGGCCCGGAGGCTTCTGCCTTCACCGTCCTGGAGGTTTTCGGGCACGCCTCGACGGCCCTCCGAGGCCCAGCCAACAGATCCAAGCCGGATCCCGGCTCCTGCTTCTCCACCTTAACGTGCAACGCTCGGGGCTGCAACGGGTGCAACTCAGGCCTGCAGGGGACGCCCTCAGACGCTGGGGGCGGCGGCGGCGGCAGCAGGAGCAGCTCGGGCCTCAGGTGCAGCAGCCGCGCCTGCGCGGGAGAAGTGGCGGCGCCTTCCTCCCGGGCCTGAGGCAGTGGTGGCCCGGGGGGCAGCAGTAACACCTGCTCCGGCTTCACCTGCAGCAGCCGTCGTGCCCCTGGCTGTACGCCCGACGCCGAGGCTTCCCCACACGACGAGGCGACGGTCGCAATGGCGGCCGCGCACGGGGTGGGCGGCGACGGAGAGGGCTCCGCGGCCGCTGCCCGGAAGGAGGCGCCCTCGACGGGCAGCGGGGGCCGACCAGGGCGCAGCGGGCGCGGCGGGGTCGCCCGCGGCAGTTGGCGCTGCTGAGGCGGCTGCTCCGGCCTGGCTCTCTCCATGGGGGGAGGGGGACGCCCCGGCCTGGTCCCAGGACGGATTGTGAGCTCAGCCGTTTGTTGGCGACCTTCCCCCTCCCCCTTTCAGTTAAGACCCTTCCAAGGTCTTTGCTACCCAGAACCCTACGCGGTTCAAAAAGCAGTCCTTGGTCTTGGCCTCGCCCAATCACAAGCGTCCTGGTATCCCGGCCCGCCAATCACAGGGGCGTTCTCCGGCCCCTCCTGCCCTCCGCGCTCCTCTCGTGCGGAGCCCTCGAATCACTCTTGATGGCCTGGGCCACGACACGTGCTGCCCATTTTCCCCGTCTGACTCTCCCTCTCTTCCGGAGTTCTCTTCCGGCCGTTGTCCTTAGTTACCCCTCCCCCGCCCAGAGCGCCCGACAATGGCGTTGCCCGGAAACAGAGCTGTTAGAAGCCACTGACCTCCAGGGGGTAAAATCTCGTGAGTCATTTAGTAGAGCTGGAGATCCCGGCAGTGTATACGCAGTTTGAGCTTCCGGGATAACCCATGGACCCAGACCCTCACGGGGGACTCTGGATTTCTGCCACGGGAAAGGGCAAATTTTGCAACGTCTCAATAACCTTTTTACTTAATCTTGTAGGGGAGAGTGTTGGACTTAACCATTAGTGTTAGATACATTAACCACCACTCCTGTGGGCAAAAATACACCACTTCTACTTGCAAAACACATCCCAAATTCTTCCACCTCTCGGGTTTTCCCATTACTCCGTTCTGATCTTACATCATCTTTTTCACCTGGATGCTGCTATAGCTGTATATGGTAAATAGTTTACTTTTCGTTTTGGTACCACTACACTCTAGTTGCCAAGAATCTCTGAAAAATACAAATCTAGTCCTCTCATAACCTGCTCCATCCCCACCTCCAAAAGTCTTCTCAGGACTCTCCACAGGTCAGACAATAAAGGTTTAATGTTCTTGGCAGAATCCATAGGCCTCAGATGGCTTGGGCTCTAGTTCTCCTACTTAACCACTCTAGCCCCAGCTTCAGCTACTGCTATCTCTCATCATTTCTCCTACTTCAAAGACGTTTGAATATGCCCTCAGTTGTATTTTTCCCTTGTGTCTCCTTAACGTCTCCTGGCATTTCAAATAGTTCAACTAGCACTTCTTCAAAGACATGTTCTCTAACTCGGAAAATCAGGTCAAATCCCCTTTATGGCCTCATATCTCTATCACTTCTTTTAAAGCTCTTACCACAATTTGTAATTTTGTATCTGTTTGTCATTATTCTCCTGCCTCCCCCACTTTGCTTTACAGCAAGCCCCGTGCATAGGAATGTTCCCAGAGCACCTTTATAAATTGAATTTGTCTGTAAGTCCAGCAGAGGTACCCAGCAGAGGTACCCTAGGTACTCAACTATACATAAAACAAAAATAAAACATTTTTAGTCTTATAGTAGTGTACCTTGAAAAGTATGGTAGAACAGTGTAAAGAATGGCATACAGGGACTGGCATCAAGGGGATAAACAAGAAAGGTGAGAAATTGTAGAACTGCAGTATTGTCAGCAATAGGAAACAAAGGGTAAGCTGCAGTTTCACTTGTGCCTTCCGTGATTGGACATGCAAAAACACGTTTGCATCTTTTAAATTTTGCAACTTGAAGGTTGGTGTGTAGGGGACTTGTTTTCTCCTTGAGGATAGACTGTGTTTTGTTCATTTCTGAATTGCCAACACCAGTTATGGAGCCTGGTGTATGGTAGGCATTCAATAAATACATGCTGAATGAATAAGGACTGCCATAGTCTAATAATAATCACTATCTGTATTAGGGGCTTTTATCTAGGCATTGGTTCAAGTTCTTTGTATTCTTATGCCTCTCCTTTAACTAGAATTGTGTTTGTTTCCATTAAATATCACCAAGAAAAAGAAAGAAATCTTGTATTAACATTTGTTACATTTCTAAGTGATGTCCTAGCTAAAAGCTATAGATTTATCTTGAAGCAGATAATTATTTTGCCACCAGGGCAAGTTAGCTCTCAAAGAAGACCTGAACCCAGCTCTCTTTCTAATACCCTGTTGTCAAATGTGGCAAATAGGAGTTCTTCCAACTGGAAGGTAGGTAAGAGCAGTGGTTCTCAAACTTTTATCTCAGGAATCTTTTATATCCACAAAAATGAAGATTCTAAAGAGCTTTTATTTATGTGGTTTTATTTATCAATATTTGCCATATTATAAATAAAAACTGGAGGACTTAAAAAGTTATCAATTCAAGTATCAATAATAAACCCATTACATATTAACATAACACATTTTCATGATAAAACTATGCCCCCCCCCCAAATTAGAAGAGTGGAATTGTGACTCTAATGTTTAACTTAGGTTTTTTTTAAAAAGTTAGATTCTCATGGCTGCTTCTGCATTCAGTTTGTTGTGATTCAGGTCATACAGGTCATACAGGCTCTAGATAGCTTCATTATACACTCATGAGTGTATGAAGTAAAAAAGGCAAATATTGTCTTAAGAATTATTATGAAAGTAGTGTTAACCTAGCAGGAACTCTGAGTCAGTCCCTGAACCACTCTTTGACCAAGCTAGTTGCACAGTCGTGCCAGGCTCTTTATAATCCCATGAACTGTTGCCTGTCCACCTCCTCTGTCCATGGGATTCTCCAGGCAAGAATACTGGAGTGGGTTGCCATTTCCTTCGATGGGGTATCTTGCTGACCCAAGGATTGAACCTACATCTCCTGCATTGCCAGCAGACTCTACCAGCTGAGCCACTAGGGCAGCTTTGCACTTTGAGAACCGCTAACAAAACAAAGGCTAAAGAAAGAGGCAGAGAAATAAATCATGTTAGATTTTGTGCAAGACTAGTTCATATATCGGAGAAGGCAATGGCAACCTACTCCAGTACTCTTGCCTGGAAAACCCCATGGATGGAGGAGCCTGGTGGGCTGCAGTCCGTGGGGTCGCTACGAGTCGGACACGACTTAGTGACTTCACTTTCACTTTTCACTTTCACTCATTGGAGAAGGAAATGGCAACCCACTCCAGTGTTCTTGTCTGGAGAATCCCAGGGACGGGGGAGCCTGGTGGGCTGCCGTCTATGGGGTCACACAGAGTCGGACACTACTGCAGTGACTTAGCAGCGGCTGCAGCAGTTCATATATTCCAGTCTGAATTAGTAATTTAAAGCAAGTGATCTGACAGTCCTCTGTGACGGCAGTGCAAACAGTATCTGCTCCCATCTTCAACCCCACACAACCACATATATGTTTTCTGTGTCTATAATTTTGTGCTTTCTAGAAATTTTATATAAATGGAATCACATAATATGTAGGCATATGTGTCTGGCTTCTTTAACATAGCATGATGTTTTTGAGGTTCATCCAAAAATAATGTATCAATAGTTATTTTATTATAGCATGGTATTCCATAGTGTGGAAATACAAGATTATACAGGGATGTTTTGTTTAAGATGTTTCCCATTCATTTTGTTTATCCATTGACTGGTTGAGGAGCATTTGGATTATTTTTAGGTTTTGGCTGCTATGAATATGATGTCCATTCATGTACAAATATTTGTGGGGACATAGATTTGCATCTCACTTGGATAGGCACCCAGAAGCAGAATTGCTAGGTTATGTGGTAAGTTTATGCATAACATTTTACAAAACTGCCAAACTGCCTTGCAAAATGTGTCATTTTAAATTCCCACTCATAACATATGAGCGTCCCGGTTTCTTTAGCTCTTCTCCAATATTTGGTATTGACAGGGTAACAGGCAGGAAGGCCAGGCATCTCCAAAAAGAGGAAATAGGCTGCAAGTGTCTCTTAAAATTCTGTTTTGCTATGAAGACACCTGGTTCCACCGGAACTTAACTTTTCTCAAACCTTGAGCTAACCAATGCATTTTTCTTATGGAAATATTTTTCTTAAACTATGTTAATGTGACTATGTATTTGCTTTGGAATTTGCCTTTCTTCAAAATGGTTTCACCTAAGCCTAACTTTTTTCCTTTTCTCAAACCTTGGGCTGATAATAGCTCAACAAACCAGTACTCATATCAATTGTTTTATGGCTGGGGGATGACACACCTCGTGCCATCCTATCTCAAAAATGCATGTTGTGGGAGAGGGGCCTGGTGAAACTTCCCTCAGCCTTGAGGTGTCTCTCCTATCTGATTAATAACTTCCTAACAGACATAAAACAGCTTGCTAAAACTAGCAGGGGTTGCGGGGGGGCACTCTCCATCCTCCTTCTGATGTCTATGTCAGAAGCTTTCTCTATCCCTTTTTCACTTTATACAACTCTGCTACACAAAAACTCTTGAGTGATCAAGCCTGGTCCCTGGTCCCGAAGCTGAATCTTCTTCAGAGATCGCGAATCCCACACCGTTCACCATAAGCTATCAGTATTAAAAGCCTTTTAAATTTTGTCATTCTATGTAGTATATATAGAATATATTATAGTTATAAAATATAATAGTAAATAATTGTATTTTAAAACTGTATTTCCACACTGAATAATGCTGTTGAGCATCTCTTCATATCCATCCTCATACATATTCATGTGTCTTCATTACCTAGTTCTGTTAAAGTTTCTTTTGCCAGTTATTTAGATTGTGTTGGTTTTCTTTTTTACTTTTAAGGATTCTTAATATATTCTGAATATAAGTTCTTTATTAGATATGGGTTTTGCAATTATTTTATTCCAGTCTGTAGCTTCTTTTCATTCTTAGTAATCTTTCCAAAAGCAACATTTTTACCTTTAATGTAGTCCAATATATCAGTATGCCATTATTTGTATTTAAGAAATCTTTGCCTAGCCTAAGATTACAAAGATTTTTCTCTTGTGATTTTCTCTAGAAGGGTTTTAGTTTTAGCTCTTACATTTAGCACTGTGATCCATTTCAAGTTAATTTTTCTGTGAAGAAAGAATCTAGGTACTTACCTAACACCATACAGTTGTTTCAGTACCATTTGTGGAAAAGACTCTTTTCCCATTGAATTACTTTAGTACTTTTGCTGAAACTTAATTGAGCATATGCATGGCTTTATCTCTGAACTCTGTTTTATTCCTCTGATCAACCTCTGTCTTTAGGCTAGTGTTACATTATCCTGATTACAAATCTTTATGGTAAAAAAAAAAATCTTTATGGTAAATGTGGGGATTAGGTCATATAAGTTCTCAAACTTAGTTCTTTTTCAAAATCATATTGGCTAGTCTTGGTTCTTTGGGTTTTCATATAAATTTTAGAGTCAGCTTACCAATTTTTGCCAAAAACAAGCATGGTGATGCATGTAGCCTGCACTGGATCTATAGGTGAATTTTGGAAAAATGATCCAT